GGGAAAGACGCAGGTAGGAGTTCAGGAAAACAGAGCCAAGCAGCTACTTTCAACCTAATAGTGCTGGGGGCCACTCATGCCTTCCCCTGAGCCTAGGGAAAAAGAAGCCTTCCACAGGGACCGACATTACCAGAATGGGGCTGGCGCTCAAACCCTAGCCTGGCCTCGTCCTTGGGCATCTGCCTTGGTACCTGTTACGGCTGGCAGGGAACAGAAAGAAAGTCAAGTTTCCAGGATGCTGGGTACTGACCATCTCCATCCTGTATAATTCCATCTTATCACAACACACCACTCCTGACTGTACCAGAAGAGCTTGCGTGTCTCTGGTCCCAAGGAAGTGGTCATCACCCCAATTCATTTTCTCTCCATCTCCTTCCTTCAAGATGGGAGAAAACTCCCATCCCCTATGGCAGTAGCTCTCAAGTGTGGTCCTTGGCCCAGGAGCATCAGCATGACCTGGGAACTTGTCGAAAATGCAAAACCTCAATGCAAAACCCTTGACATACTTCATCCTCACAATGAGGCGGCGAGGTAGGTACAGTTATCAACCTGTGTCGACAGGTGGGCTCACCAGGGTTGAGGGAGAGCAGCCATCTCATCCAAGGCTGCGCAGCCAACAGGTGGTGGAAGCAGGACATGAACCCCATGTGCCGATCCCAAAGTCCCAGGTGTCCACCTCAGCACCGTGCTCCAGGCGCCCGGGTTTCCCGAGGGGCGGGGGCTTCTGCGTTGGCCTTAGACATGCTCTCCTGATCCTGCTCCCTCGGGATGCCTCCCTGCTTTCCGGGAGCTGAGGCCATTCGGCCGCCTGCACTTTTCAGCCTCCCTTGGCTTCTTCCCCAGCCCCAGCCCCTCCTGGATGGTCACAGCTGAGCTCCTAGAAGTGGGGACGGGCTCAGAGAAGCCAAGCCTGGAGGCCATCCCACCACTCCCTCCCCAGGCCCCTAAGCCATCTCCATCCTCCTAAACTAGTCTGCAGAGCCTCAGACTGCTCACGCATTCCGTCAAAAGCTAGAGTAAAGGGGTCGCTGCTGTGCCTTTGCCTGAAGCAAGTGGGTACCTGTCAGTTTAGGGCAGTGATCACCACCCACCACAGAGACGAGAAGGAGAGGACTGTGCCAGGGGCCCCTGGGAGAATCGGTAGGCAGAGTCCCACCCTTCCCCTGGTCTCCGAGGTAGCGCACCTGGTTTCCTTTCCTCTTGCGGGGTTTCCCGAGGGCTCACAGGGCTACCGCTTGGGATCTCCCTGTAGGAGGACGAGGCCCGGAGAGTCACCGCTCCCTTCCCAGTGCAGATTTTTGTAGGATCCGTGTCTGAAAAGGAAAGACCCAAGAGGGAAGACTGAGTCCCAGGCTCCTGGAGGATGAAAGCGACAGTCAGCCAGCAACTTGGTACAGCTGGGGAATGAAATGAACCTGGTTACAGACAGGCAAAGTCTGAAGGTCAATGAATTAACCTGTGGATGGTGAAGAGGGAAAAATCACATTTTCAGAGGTTTACCACCCATCATGAGGTTAGGAGGAAATGGAGGCAACAGTGAGTTCTGAGTCAATGGATGCGTTAAAATGTCAGCTGTAAACATTTCCAAATCAAAGCGGGTTGATTCCTTTTATTAAATGAAGTTTAGGTTGGTGAGCAGCTTCTGACCAATTAGTAAGGCTCAGTTCGAGAAAGAATTCTCAAGCTCCCACATCATCCTTCTTAAAAAAGCAAGTCGACAGCACAGGGAATTAGGTGGTGGTTCTGTAGAGAATCACTGCTCCGTGCAGCCCCCCAACGGAAAAGCAAAAGACAATCTCCTTGTATCAGCAAGCCAAGCCCCCTGCAGTGGTGAGACAGGATATGCTGCCTGGGGAGAAAGATCAAGGGCCAGAGCCTCACATTCTAAACTTAATGAAGAAAATTCACACCAAAGAAAACGACTAGAAATGCTAAATCCTTCAAGGAACAGTGTTCGCTGCACTTCCAGCTGAGCCTTCCCTGGGCCCCGACCTCTCCTACAGTTCACAATGGCCTAATAACAGACCCAGGGTATCTTTCAGAACTGCATGGAGAAGGATTTCAAAATAGGCTTCAAAAGATCTGGATGCTCATCCTCCAGGAAAATCAGTAACGGGGCAACAAGAAAGCCACACAGACCACACAGCCCTAGGAGGTACACGTGCTGAATGTTCCTCTCTGTACAGCTGAGCTGAACTGAATTCCACAGTTTTTCAAGTTGCTCACAGCACAGCCTGGATCTTGGACCTCAAATTGTCATGACTGGGATTATGGGTAAAGTTTAAGGTGGGCATCGGGCAGGATGTGGGCTCAGATGTCCAACTCATACCCATTCCTCTGCCAGGGCCAAGAGGAGCCAAGCCTCTTTGCTCCTCCTTTCCACTCTGGCAGCCCCCTGTCTGACAGCTCAGACAGAACGATCATTAGTGTTACAGAACAGGACAGATCTGCCTTCAGCACCTCTTGCACTGAAAGCGAAGCACAAAAACACAATGTATGGCAGAGCGGGCAGCAGCCTTGGAGAGCATCTGACTCGTCCAACCCCATCAAGAGGATAAGTGACTGATGTCACAGAACTATTGGCAAAATTGATTCACGGTCTTTTCAAAAGGGTGAGGGGCAAAGTCATGGTCTTTGCCAAAGGGTGAGGGGCAAAACGACAAACCCAGCCCATCCATAGTGTCCTGGATGCACAGCCAGACTGGCCCAACTCCTGAAAGAACCACCAGTGGGAAAAAGAGCCACCTGGGCCTCACTCGTCTCATTTTTGTACAGAAGGAACCTATGAGCCAGAGCTGTCGTCTGAAGTGCACCCCGTTCCTTGGAGAGGCGAGGCAGGAAGTGACTGCTGGTGAGGTTCGGGGCAGAGGAGGGAGTGCTCAGGGAAATGGTCCTGCCAGCATCACAGAGACGCAGCCAGGTTTGGCATCTAAGGGAGTTGCTTCAAGTTCGGCCCAATTTAGAGATTCCCTGTGCAGGCACATTAGTTCTTGGGGACAGTGGAGTTTTAAATAGTCTTGGGAGCTGGAACCTCTAAGGGGAACCTAAGTCGTCCATGTGGCTCAGACCTACACCAGCTGGAATCAACATTCAGCCTCTGGACTGACCTTCTCCTTAAGGGGGAGGCGCAAGGTACCTGTCAGCTCCTCTCCACACTTGCTGGTGGCTCACAGACACACGCACACGCACGCACACGCACACACGCGCGCGCGCGCGCGCGCGCGCGGAAACCAGCCAGAGAAGTGAAAGGGAGTGGCTCCTAAACATGCAAGGATTAAGCCTCCAAGTCTTTGTTAGAAGGAGAGAAGAGAGGATCATGCATGATCTGCTAACAATTTAAAAAAAAAAAAAAAAAAAAAAAAAAAAAAAAAAAAAAAAAAAAAAAAAAAAAAAAAAAAGAAAAGAAACCAACCCAAGGAGAGATACCTGGAGGGAGTACTAGGCCTGAAGAATTTTTCACTGTCTTCACAGGGATTATTTTAACAGCAGAAATAGAGCGTGCACGTATAGGGTCGGCAGTTGCTGAAAACACAAAAGGGTAAATGGTGCATCCAGAAAAAACATTTGGGAAACACTCAGGTGGGACAATAGAAGGAAGTCGCCCACACCAAAAGAATAGGAAAAGCGTAGATGCAGTAAATTAAAACAACCTGCTTTCGCTCTTTAGAGTCCTGTACCAAGTCACCAGAACCCTCCCACGACCGTCCCCCAGATGCAGCTGATCAGTGTCTGTGCTGCCTGCCACACCAGGAACTTGCTAGACAAACAGATTTACAGAGATGCAGATGGCCTGGCACATAGAGGAAGGGGAGAGCAAGCAGGGTCCAAGGGGCCCTCTGGGAGAAGGCTAGGGTGTCTATGCTGGGGGGGCCTCTGAGGAGGGGAGTTGTGGCTCCCGTAACTCCAGAGGAGTGGAGGAAGGACAGGGAACAAATCTGGGAGCTGCCTGGTCCTTTCAGCCATCACAGCCGCTTCTCCAGGATCGTAACTCCTGGGGTCTTGTGCCTGTTCTGACAACCACAGCTCTCCGGCCCTGAGCAAATCAGAGGCCCCATCTGTTGGGCAGCAGATGGCCTACTTAAAGCCATCCTTCCCTGGGCAAGAGGTTGCCAAGTGTCCAAGTGCCTGTTCAAGACTCTGGGTGCACTCAAGCGCAAGGCCCAGGGTGCTGACACCAGCTGAGCTTTGAGAGCTGGGATACTGCCTGGGATGTGGGTGAAGGCTGCTGTCCTCAAGTCCCGGATGCTCATGCTTATCTAGGCACAGGCTTCCCTGGGTCCCCTGCCTAGCCAGATTCTGGAATCTCAATGGTGGGCATAGTCCCAAACCCTCCTTCTCACAACAAGCCTATGGTGTCAATGTCACTCTTGAGCAACACCTGGAGTTCTTATGGTCCCAGATCCACGTCACACCTTGTGGGGTAGGGCTGTTTGGGAAGCAAGACTGTCACGGCTGCATCAGCATCATGCTGACGAGCCTGTCAAGGGGACAGGAGGGAGGCAGGCAGCTCGGAGGTGGGTAGTTCACCTTCCAGTCCATCAGGCTGTCATTTCACAAGGTCCATGGCAGTCACACAGCTGACAAGAACTGAGTTGATAATAACGATCCTGCACGTGTTAAGATACAAACATGCTTTCACAGCAATCCTGCTGACTGTTCCTTACGGCCACCTGGGAGACTGGGTGGGAGGATTTTGTTACCATTTTCAGAGGAAGAAGAAAGAGAGCTGGTCGGAGTCATCCAGGGCTCAAGCGAAGAGGCCGAGACTGGAGCCCAGCTGTCCTGGCATCTGGATTAGTGAGCGCCCCAGGTGGTCACTGATGACTCCAGGTTGCATCTGCTTCCTCTTTCCAACCAAAGGTGAGTCTTACCAAGGAGCGAGGGGAATGCAGCTCCACGGGCCACCCTGCCTGCCCACCTCCGAGGTCTCTTCTGCTGATGAATTCACAGGGCTGGGGTGAGCATCAGACACGCTCGTCTCCCCGTGTGCTCCTCAGATGCTTATTAGGCACCGCCCTTCAACATCCCCTAAGTGAATTGGCCAAGGTTGTCCAAGATCCCGAGAACATTGCCTCACCCCAGGCGTGAGTAAGAGCGGCCGGGCAGGGAGACACGGAAGACAGGACGACGGCAGGACACCTCCCAGCCAACCGGCCCCGGGCTCCCCATCTCTCCTGCTCTCCACGCCTCCCCTCCTGGCTGTTCTTTCTGACTTTACACTTTGCCTTGTCTCAAAATGAATACTTGGCTGACCCAGATGGTAATTACGAAGTCCAAATATGTCAAACTTTGGGGTTTTTTTGCAGTACGCGGGCCTCTCACTCTTGTGGCCTCTCCCGTTGCGGAGCACAGGCTCCGGACGCGCAGGCTCAGCGGCCATGGCTCACGGGCCCAGCCGCTCCGCGGCATGTGGGATCTTCCCGGACCGGGGCATGAACCCGTGTCCCCTGCATCGGCAGGCAGACTCTCAACCACTGCGCCACCAGGGAAGCCCCAAATATGTCAAACTTTGTAAGCATTTTCTTTGAGGGAGGGTGCATTTTGACTTAAATGCCCAATGACAGGACTTTTGCCCTCTCTCTTTGATACCATAAGACTTGTGGGATGGGCACTGATAGAATCACTGGAACCTGAATCTGAAGCAGGAAAAAATATTGCAGATCATCAAATTCTCTCATTTTCTAGGTAAGGAAACTCATAGCCATAAAGACAAAGGACCTCCCAAGAGTTCTCTGCTTACGAGCAGCAGACCAGGACCCGAGCCCCTATTTCCTCACACTGCAAAGTGACATGGGAAGCCTGATGCCTGGCTGTTCAGGATGAGAGATGGGACCTCAAAGGTCATCTTATCCATCATTCATTTCACACTTACATCTTTTGTCCTAAAATTTTAAAAACTGAAAATCTGAGAGGATGCACATGAAACTAATGTCACCAAAATAATTTATTTCAGCAATTTAGGCTCTTGCCTCAGGGTCAGGATGGTGAATGTGTCACTATTTATCACAGGTGAAGGTAAAATGCCGGGTAAGAGAGACTGCAGGCTAATAAATGCCATACACACGAGGACTCTGCCCGTGTATTTGGGGTCTGTGGTTCACAGCATCCTATAAACTAGGGACAGTTTTTAATACATCACCTCACATTGGGAAGCGGCAGCCTCAGGCTCCTGATTCTCGGAAAGCATAGGAACAGGTTTCCAGGTCACGGCCTAATTAGACCAGTGACTGTTTCCACCAGGCAGGTGGCCCGGGCCCTGCTCATTCTAGAAATGCCAAGTTTCCCTTCAAGAGCCTTACCTCTGTCTTGCCCATTGCTGCCCGGTACCAAACCATTCACCACAGCTTTGGAAGCACCAACATCGCATTCTGAAAGAAAGAAAGAAAGAAAGAGCCCGAGGCTTGTGATCATGTCTAGCCACCCTTTCCTGAGCCCCACCTGGTGCAAAGTGCTGGCCCTTCGGGCTTTCTCAGGCCTGAAGGGCCCCAGGGCGTCGTAGCTGAGTTCCGAGAATGCTCTGTGGCAGGGAGAACGCAAAAGCTGTTTGGGATGGGAAGTGTGTTGTGAGCGCTGTAAATTCTCTGGCTTCCTGGCTTGGCTTCACTTCTGACATTTAAAATAAAATCTCCTTAATTCCCTGAAAATGGCATCTCCTGCCTGACAAAGGCTTATCCACCATTCCAAGGCCGCTCAAACGCATCCCTGTGCATCCCGGATGAGAGCTGTCAGACAGCCAGGACAGAAACCTCAGGCTCTGTGACACTTCCCTTCACCCCACCCCACCGCCGCTGCTATGGAAGCCATGCCGGGCCACCCCCCAGCCCAGGGTCCCCAGCCGAAGCTCCTGTGTTCTGGTTGTGGCGATGACCTGGCCCCCTGACAGCTCTCCTGACCTTCGTTCTGCCCCTTCTCCACCCCAGCCCTCAGTCTGTATCTGGAGAGCACCCTGTAAACCCCCATCTGGCTGAAAAAGCCCCAGGGAGCAGGACAGAGAACAAAACAGGACAAAGCAACGTGATTTTCTAAAACTCTCCACTTTAAATATACTGTATTTCACTTCTATTTTATTCTTTTGTTTGTTTTTAATGTTTAAATTACATTTTTACTATTATATATTTTTTATTTATTTTGGCTGCACTGGGTCTTCGTCGTGGCAAGCGGGATCTTTTTTAGTTGCGGCATGCATGAGGGATCTAGCTCCCCGACCAGGGATCAAACCTGGGCCCCCTGTACTGGGAGCACAGAGTCTTACCCACTGGACCACCAGGGAAGTCCCTATTTTTGTTTTTTAATTTTTTACTGGAGTATAGTTGCTTTACAATGTTGTGTTAGTTTCTACTGTACAGCAAAACGAATCAGCTATACATATACATATGTCCCCTCTTTTTTGGATTTCCTGCCCATTTAGGTCACCACAGTGCATTAAGCAGAGTTCCCTGTGCTATACAGTATGTTCTCATTAGCTGTCTATTTTACACATAGTATCAATAGTGTATATGTGTCAATCCCAATCTCCCAATTCCTCCCACACCCCCTTCCCCCTTGGTATCCACACACTTGTTCTCTACATCTGTGTCTCTATTTCTGCTTTGCAAATAATTCACTTCTATTTTGAAAAATAAAAATATCAGGGTTTAGTCTGGGAAGTCGATCATACATGTTACCATTTCCATGAGGAAACAAACTGAACTTGGAATCAAGCTCCCCCAAATGGACATTAGGAATATCATTTTTCAGTAAGTGAGATGGCCTGTATGCTGCCATAAGTGGTTATATTCGAATGAACAAACTGACCTTCCTGATAATTAAAAGCAAACCAACAAACAAGCCCCAGTAACCAGGAGCTACCCAGGGACAAAGCCTGGGCAACTCATCCCGGACTCCAGGCACTTCAGCCACAGGTCCCAGCCCTTTTCCAGCTGCAGTTTCCTTCTGCCCCTGCCCTCCATGACGGTCTCCTCACAACCCCTTCAGCACATCAGATACTTTCCGACATTCATACTTTCCGACTTGCTTCCTGCAAGGCCTTCGGCCAGAAATGAACGCTCTCCCTTTCCTAGCTTGGGGAAATCCTCTGCACCTTGAGGTTCACCTTGAATGTCACCTCCTGTGTGCCACTGGAGACCTTTCAAAGTTCTGCTCAGCTGCAGACACTGAGACCCTCACTGCCCACCGGCAGCCTAAGCCCCACCCAGTTTCCCGTCCCAGAACTGACGGCAGCAGTCCAGAGAAGACAAGCAGGTGGGACATGTGATCAGCGTGCTTTGCTCTGCAGCCAAGAGCAAACCAAGCCACAAATATAATCATAACAGCTACGGGTTTTTAGAGCCCTCTATTTACCTGGATCTGAGGGTCCATGCTCAGCATTTCATAATGAGCACCTCATTTTTATTCTTAATACCCAGGCCCCTGGAGCTAGAAGTTAGGAACTCTTATTTTATAGATAAGGAATTTGAAGCTCAGAAAGGATGCCGGGCTCTAAGATCACTAAATAGGGATTTGAAGTCTGGTCTGGTCCATCCCACCCACAGCTTATCTTCTTTGAACCCAGCTAGGATAAACATTTTTTATTTTTAAAATGAAAAAATCCCCCAACCCCAGTAGCTCATTTGGCTGAGACTTGGTCACCCTACCTGGGCTCTTTAATAATCAGCCTCCCTGACATAAGCTACACTGACAGGCCAGCCCAGGCGCTCCTGGATCCAGATGTGAGCAGGGCTACTGCCCCTGTGCCCGTTCCCCAAACCCGCCACAGCGGCCATGACCTCCCGACACTGGCCCCATAGGGCCCGTCCTGTTCACTGCCCCCAATCTACCTACAGACAAAGGCTAGTTCTCCCAAAGTCCCCTTTGCACCTACGTTTCTGGGATGGAAGGAGGGTGTTGGCAGAAAGCCAGAAATCCAAGTAAAAGAAATATCACCCGTTCCATCACTCCATCTTTTCTGACTATCTCTTCCCTATGCACCTGCCCTAATTTCTCTTAACCATCCCCTTCCTAGGACTACAGGCCTTGCTTCGGGCCTCCCCCGTGCCAGCAGCCTCTGAGCTTCCACAAGGCCCAGACCCATGTCCTTCCTTTCCTTTTGTGTGTGTGTGTTTTTTTAATCAAACAACTAAACTTTAAGAAATTTGGAAAAATAATTCTATCACCTCACACTCACACCTCTGCAGCACAGTGCTGGTGGCCTGGGGTTGCCTCAGGAGTCACTAGCCAGGTGACCCCAGACATGCAGCTCTTTCCACCAAAGGTTAAAAACGAATGTTTTCTACATAGCTGCTTTCTTCCGGATGATCACTTTTATTAGTGGCATAATCTCCCATCAAGTAAACACACATAACGAACCTACTCATTCCCCACCTTCATGTGGGTGTTTTTGTTTCCTTCGAATTAAGATAGACATTCCCAAGAGCGCGATTATCAGGTCAAAGGGTCCAGATTTTTTGGACTCCTCCTAGGAAATGCCTCCTTTCAGTGTCACGCCTGAGAGAGAACTTGGGGAGAAGTCCCACAGGCATCTCTGCACCCTTGACCAGCCCCTCCCTGCCCACTTCTTTCCCCCTTATTCATGCCAGGAGTGGTGATACCAGTTCAGGCTAATCCTGATATTAGAAGAATAAGAAACTTTAGGTTGCAGAGCTAAGAAAAAAAACAAAACAAAGCAATAAAACCCTGGCCTATTTTGAATGACAGGAAAAACAAAAAGCCAAGCGAGAAGAAAAACTGAGTTGCAAAGCAGGGACTACTGGCCGTGCCCGAGTCCACCTGGAGGGGAAAAGAAGGGACGTAGCCACCGCACGCATAGGAGAAGCACCCATGAAGTCAAGGACAAGCCCAGTCCCTCTCCTCGCAAGGAGGGGACCTGAGCTGATAACCCACGGATGGGACACTGGACAGGCCTTGGGCTCAGTGCTCAGTACGTTAGAAGCACTGCCTCACTTAATCCTCAAAAATTCCCATGAGGTGGTGCTTTCGTGATGTCCGTCTTACAGAGGAGAGTGGAGAGAAGGATCCACCACAGGCCAAAGCCCGCACACTCAGTGTGTGTGGCCCTGAGCTGAGCCACCTGGGCCCTCTTCCTCCTAATAAGCACACACTGTCCGGCAAGGTTTAGGATTTGGCTAAAAGGGCACTGCACGTAAACAAGCGGAAAGGCTTGTTTTTAACCTCCAGAGGTCTCTGATAGCACCCTGGAGATATCTCAGGATTAGAGGCCCCTGAGTGAGCTATCCACTAGGTCATCCCCCAGCCCACCCTGCCTGCAGGTCTCAGGAGGTTCCAGGGTGCACTCAGTAGCTGAGGTGGGCCTCAATCTCCAGATGGAAACTTCTCTGCCCCGAATCCTGGGCTGGAAAGCTGACAGCTCTTGGCTACACAACGAGTAGGTACCTACCTATTCCCTTTTGTCTTCCCTAGCCCGGGCTTTCTACCCCAGCTCTAAACCAAAACTACTCAGAAATGCTCATTTGTGTAGGTCTTGATTTTTACTACCAAAGGCATAGTAAAAGGGTGGTTTTGCCCTGATAAAGGAAGTGATGGATTAGCTCATACTATGGGGCAATTATGGTCAATCCGTTTACTTGTGCTGCAGTCACTCAGATTAAGAAATGCCACTGAGGTGTATACATATGTCAACATTTATCAAATAATATACTTAAAATATCCACAAGTTTATTGTATGCCAATTATACTTCAATAAAGTTGCTGAATCGAGGGAAAGGGAGCCCGTTATAAAGATTAGGACACAGTACATGTAAAGTGTATAGCATAGTTCTTGACATATGGTAGGTACTCAGTAAATCATTAATAACAAAGGTTGTGATGACGATTTATGACAAAGCTTTGATGCTTACCCAGGACTCGAAAAATAAAAAATGAAATGCAGTTGGGGCCTTCAGAGTAAGAGGGAAATCTGGGTAAACAGTCCAGTTTTGTAGATTTGTCAGGAAGAAAAAGACAGGGTTTTAAATGACTTACCAGAGCTCATGGTGGTGATAGGACAAGTCTTCTGTAACTGGGGCTCTGCAGAAAAACAAACACCACAATGGAATTGACAAATGGCAGGTTCGAGATAAATCCCTATGGTTCACACTAAAAATGCAAACACCGTATACAAGCCTTGATAAAACAGAGCTGGACCAGGTGTTACTTGGCCAGACTTCTGGTTCTTGGTTGGCTGTGTACTAACCTGACCTTGGGCACATAACTCAAACTCCTTGGCCTCCGTTTTGTCACCCGTACTTGGTTTAGATACTATCCAAGATCCCTTCCACCTATAACATTCTATTAAGAACCTCAAGTTACATGAGTCCATGTGGATCAAGGAGAGGGTGAAGGAAAGAACCAATTTTAGGAGAGATAAAATCACAACACAAACTGATTATTGGAGAGTAATAATAAGATTATATATAGCTTATTATGCTCAAGAAAATGTTCTAGGTGCCTTAAATATATTAATTCATGTGATCCTCACAAGGACCCTGTAAGGTAAGAACTAGCATTGTATTAGTTTACACAGATGAGGAAACCAAAGCACAGAGAGGCGAACAACTTGCTGCCCATGTGGCAGAATTGGTTCTGGAACCCAGACAGCCCGACCTGAAAGCCCAGGCACTTAGGAACTACACTCTACTGCTTTGAGGTGGGAAGGCAGTCCACTTACTCACTGATATGCAAACGGTAATCCTCTCATTTAATATGGTCCCATCTGAAGTCCCCCAAAACCACTGGCTACTGTCACTATAGTTTTACCTCTTCTAGAACTTTTTTTTGGGGGCTGCATTGGGTCTTCATTGCTGAGCACGGGCTTTCTCTAGTTGCAGCGAGCGGGGGCTACTCTTTGTTGCGGTGTGTGGGCTTCTCATTGCAGTGGCTTCTCTTGCTGTGGAGCATGGGCTCTAGGCATGCAGGATTCAGTAGTTGTGGCTCGTGGGCTCTAGAGGCACATGGGCTTAGTTGCTCCGCAGCATGTGGGATCTTCCTGGGCTAGGGATCGAACCCGTGTCCCCTGCATCGGCAGGCGGACTCTTAACTACTGCACCACCAGGGAAGTCCCAGAATCTTACATAAATGGTATCATATGGTACGTAATCTTTTGTACCTGGCTTCTCTCACTTAGCAGAACACAATTTAGCAACTGGCCATATACGTGTGTGTCTATTTCTGGACTTTGTTCCATTTATTTGTCTTTATCTATTCCATTGTCTTGATGATTAGAGCTTTATAGTAAGTCTTGAAATCGGGTAGTATGAGTCTTCCAACTTCATTCTTTTTCAAAATCATTTTGGTTCTTCCAGGTCCTCTGCATTTCATAAAAAGTTTAGAGTCATCTTACCAGTTTCCACCAAAACAAGAAAAAGCCTGCTGGAATTCTGAGTGGGTTCCTGTTCAATCTATGTATCAATCTGGGGGAAATTAACATTTTAACAACACTGAATTTCCAATTCATGAGAATGAACTCTCTCCCTTTATGCAGGTCCCCTTTAATTTCTCTCAGCAATGTCTTGTAGCTTTCAAGGTACAAGTCTTGCACATGTTTTGAATAGTAAGGTCTAGCTAAACACATCTGAAGGACAACCTGAAAAGTAAGTCTTCATGAGCTGTAGAACCTTACTATTTAACATGTGGTCTGCAGACCAGCAGCTGGGAACTTACTAAAAAATGGAGAAGGGCTTCCCTGGTGGCGCAGTGGTTGAGAGTCCGCCTGCCAATGCAGGGGACACAGGTTCGTGCCCCGGTCCGGGAAGATCCCACATGCCGCGGGGCAGCTGGGCCTGTGAGCCATGGCCACTGGGCCTGCATGTCCAGAGCCTGTGCTCCGCAACGGGAGAGGCCACAACGGTGAGAGGCCCGCGTTCCGCAAAAAAAAAAATGGAGAAACGCAGAATCAACCCTATACCAACTGAATCAGAATCTGCATTTTAACAAGATCCCCAGCTGGTCCCTATGTACTTTCAAGTGTGAAAAGCAATGATGTAGAGGCTATCAACTCCCCGGTTCATGAATTCTGTATTAAGGTCATGGTATGGTCTGAGGGTCTGCACCAAGAGACACGCTTTAGTCTCCTTTTTAACACTGAAGTCAGGCACCAGTTTCCTTTCTGGGTGGTTGTCTTGTTAACTGTCCTTGGAATTGACTGAATAGAAGCTGGGGGCAAAAAGGAAATCATTCTAAGTCCGTCTCTCCAGCCCAAATCAGCGGTAAGTTTGCCTCTGTCACTGTCAAGTACACCTGAGACTACCCGTGACCTTCAACAGCCCCTCAGCTTGTTCTCTAAGCTGTGGAAACATTTGTTCTTTCAGTTAAGAACACAACCCCCTGTGTTCCGTATGCCCGGGTGGTTTCCTATCCTGGTTTTATGATTCCTTCGTTTGCCTCCCAGGGCCAAAACGGATGTCGGGATAGCATCCAAATGTTTTATTTTTTAAATCATTTAAATAATTATGCTAAGGTTTTATTTATTTAACTTTTAAAGCACGACTATAGCAATGTTTTCATTTCAACACTGAAGTTATCTTTTTTTTAACATCTTTATTGGAGTATAATTGCTTTACAATGGTGTGTTAGTTTCTGCTTTATAACAAAGTGAATCACTTATACATATACATATGTTCTCATCTCTCTTCCCTCTTGCATCTCCCTCTCTCCCACCCTCCCTATCCCATCCCTCTAGGTGGACACAAAGCACCAAGCTGATCTCCCTGTGCTATGCGGCTGCTTCCCACTAGCTATCTATTTTACATTTGGTAGTGTATATATGTCCATGCCACTCTCTCACTTCGTCCCAGCTTACCCTTCCCCCTCCCCGTGTCCTCAAGTCCATTCTCCACATCTGCGTCTTTATTCCTGTCCTGCCCCTAGGTTGTTCAGAACCACTTTTTTTTTTTTTTTTAGATTCCATATATATGTGTTAGCATAGGGTGTTTGTTTTTCTCTTTCTAACTTACTTCCAACAGTGAAGTTATCTTAATATTTTTCTTTTTTTACAATACTTTCTAACCTTTATCTGCATAAATAGCATTTACATAGTTGTAAACAATGTCTGGACAGCTTTGTGTTCTAGTTCTCAAATTAAATATTTCATGAACATTTTTCTGGATTTTTACAGTCATCATTTTAATGTCTGTAATGTTCCATAATTCATTTACCAGCTCCCTCTGTAGAGTTTGTCTTAATTTTAAAAATAAGTACATAAATGGAATATTACTCAGCCATAAAAACGAATGAAATAATGCCACTTGTAGCAACATGGATGGACCTAGAGATTATTTTACTAAGTCAGACAGAGAAAGACAAATATCATATGATATTACTTATATGTGGAATCTAAAAAAAATGATACAAACTTATTTACAAAACAGAAATAGACTCACAGACATAGAAAACAGACTTATGGTCACCAAAGGGGAAAGTGGGTGGGGGGGATAAATTGGGAATTTAGGATTAACAGATACACACTAAGAAATAGATAAGAAACAGGTAAACAACAAGGACCTACTGTATAGCACAGGGAACTATATTCAGTATCTTATAATAACCTATAATGGAAAAGAATCTGAAAAAGTATATATATGTTATATACATTATACACATACATACATATATACATAAAATTGAATCAGTTTGCAGTGCACCCGAAACTAACAACATTGTAAATCAACTATGCTTCAATTGAAAAAATAAGTACATAGCACAACAGCATTCTTAGGCTGGGGAAGAAATGAATGGAAATGTCTTATAAAGCAAACAAAGAGGATGCCTCAACTCACACGTGATGAGTCTTCACCATCTGTCATATGTCGGCCACCCTTTGCACATTTTATATATTTCTCAATACAGACACTAGTAATTTCTAGATGTCAGCCCTACCCTTACTTACAAAGTGACCTAAAGTACATATGGGCAGGGATAGTATCCCAAATATTAACCATCACTTTACTACAAACATCCACCAACCAGAGTGGATGCCAGGTGTAGAGCTCTCTGCGGGGGGCCCCTCCCCAGGCCAGGTGTTTTACTGTTCAGTGGTTGGATTGCAAAAAGATGGAAGGAGAATGGGCCCAGGGTGGTAGGACACTATTCCAGTACTTGAAGAACATGTATGACGTAGTAGGCGGCAACGACAATGCCTAGGTGGGTACCAGCTCTGCACACATAGACTTTGTCGGTAATAGGTCCTGTTACATGCTCTCACTTGGTTGTTTAAATAGGCATCAGGTGACACGAAGCAGGGGGTAGTTTAAAATAATATCAAAATTAAAACTGTGGCAGTTGTGCCGAGGACGGTGCCCAGTGTCCCATCCTCGGCGGTGGTTGCAATAGCAGCGACACTTTATCCAGACTCTTCCGGGGCCTGGTGTTGGCTCTGAGTCCATCCATCTCAGCCTCTTTGAAGTTCTGCCTGTTCTGAGTGTGGTTCGCCTGCCTCCTGTAAACTCTGAACTACCTGAGATCTCGCCAATAAATCCCCCTTTCATTATGAGTTAACCAGAGGCCATGTCTGGTCGTTTGCAACCAAAGCATCCTGAGCAGCACAAGATGAGGGGGAGGAGGGAGCCCCAAAGGTTTCAGTGGGAGAGGAGAATCTTCATTCCTCTCTCCTGAATAAGGCCGTCCAGAGGGGAATCCCAAGTGGCTCAGCAAACAGTTTTGTCTCTACAACCTGAAGAGCTCAGAGTCAGGGTGGCGGGGATGCAATCAGGAAGCCGCACAAACTGAGTCTGACCAGAGAACGCTAAAAGCTTTAAAAGTCACAATCTAATCCCCGCAGTTTATTTAGAGATAGTACAAGTATTACCATCATATGTTAAACATGAGAGTTTATTTTACATAAAAATTTCTGACACTTAGTATTTATTTTAAAACTAAGCTGTAGGGCTTCCCTGGTGGCGCAGTGGTTGAGAGTCCGCCTGCCGATGCAGGGGACACGGGTTCGTGCCCCAGTCCGGGAAGATCCCACATGGCATGGAGCGGCTGAGCCTGTGCGTC